AAAAAAAAATAAATAAATAAAATCTGTTTTTAATAAGACCTTTAAAAAACCTTTTTTGGGGGATGCCTGGGTGGCTCAATCGGTTAAGCGTCTGCCTTCGGCTCAGGTTATGATCCCAGGGTCCTGGGACTGAGCCCCGCATTGGGCTCCTTGCTCAGTGGGGAGCCTGCTTCTTCCTCTCCCTCTGCCTGCCGCTCCCCCTGCTTGTGCTCTCTCTCTCTATGAAAAAATACATAAATAAAATCTTAAAACAAAACAAAAAAATGCTTTTTTAAATCAAGTAATCTCTCTACATCCAACGTGGGGCTTGAACTCACAACCCGGAGATCAAGAGGCTCATGCTCTACCAACTGAGCCAGCCAGGTGCCCCTGTTTTGCCCTTTTTTTGGTGTAATTTTGTAATCCTCATTTGGAGGAGAGTCACTGTTACTGGCCCTTTCCCACCTATTAAATAAAAGGTTCCTGAATACTTTTTATCAAGTCCTCATGCCCAAGTCACCTATGAAGTTAGGATGCCATCTTCTCAGAAGGTTCTGGAACGACAGACAGATAGAGCTGGGAGGCGCTCAGAGGTGATAGCTACCCTCTTTGGTTAGAGAGGGCTAACAGTGGCTCAGAAAGGGGCAGGAACTGGCCTGGGGTCATGAGGTGCTCGGCAGCCCTGGCCAAGGTCAGGGGTGCAGCCAAGGGCCCCCCACTGCCCATGTGTATTTTGTACTTGCAGGACATAACCTACCTTCGCATCCCTGTGGCGGACACCCCCGAGGTACTCATGTAAGTTCTCTGGAGGCACCAACAGGGGTGTCTTCTGTGGTGGTGGTGGTAGGGAGGGGGAGAGGTGGTCTGGGGGAGGAAAGAGAGGACTCACGCCAGAAAGCTGTCCTGGGAAGCCCAGCACAAGTGCTCACTCAGACCTCTGTTTGACTCTGTGTCAGCTACGCCCTTGCCAATGCCCCTGGCTGCGACCTTTAACCTCCCAGAGCTCAGTATCTTCAGCTGTGAAATGGAGAGAGTACCCAGACTTGAAGCGGTTAGGCTCAGCCAGTTCCTGGCCCTGGAGTTAAGACATCCGGGCTCCATCCAGGCTTTGCCATTTACTTGCTGTGTGACCTTGCAGAAATCACTTTCCCTCTCTGAGATCAGATGGCACAGGTTGAGGATCCGGGACAGGGCCTGGCATGTAACGGGGACTCAGAAAACAGGATTTATTTTGTTATGAGCAGCAGTGCCTCCCAGCCTGGGAGTGACCCACAAAGACGCTCCTCCCAACCCATGGCTGACCAGCATTGTCCCTGCAATCAGGCGCTCCGATTGCACACCCCAGAGGAGTGGGACTCCTCTGTCTCCTCCCACCCATGTCCTTGAAAGACCAAGATAAACCCTCCATGAAAATAGGATCCACAGACCCCACTGGGGAGGTGCTCCTGCCTCTGTGGTGGGATTTCTCGTCATCAGCCCCTTTCACTGCCTGAAATGCCCCTCTTGTGGCTTCACACCCCGCTCCCCTTGTACTGTAGTCCAGACCCTGTTCGCCGCTTGGGCTGGCTGCCCTGAGGACCCAGGGCTCTTGACAGCCCATCAGTGCAGAGGGGGACAACTCCTAGGACACCTGCCCCCCAATGTTCCCGACCCTATTGCTTTCTTCTCTAGCAAAAAGCACTTCAAAGAATGTATCAACTTCATCCACTGTTGCCGCCTCAATGGGGGGAACTGCCTTGTGCACTGGTGAGTTAAGAGAGGAATGAGGGGAGCAGGTAAGGGGCTGTCCTCCATTACACGCACGCACTCACCCTATGGGGCATGAGGAACCTGGGATGGACCTTCTCCAGCCCGTTGCCATGCATGACAGTCGGCCATTCACCTGAGGGCGGCTGATCGGGGGCTCCAGTCAGGGCTCTGTCCCTTACCAGCTGTGTGGCCAAGGCCAAAGTGCTGTTTCTCCCTGAGACTCCCATTTCCTCATCTGTAAAATGGAGAAAAGACTGTTGCCTGCTGGGCTATCAGGAGGGGATAGGGGAGTTCACGCAGGTAGCCCAGCACCCTCCAACTGTTCTGGCTCCCTCTCCTCCCCTCCAGGCTTTTGAGGAAATAGGGCAGAGCAGTGGGGAACCCCAGGCTGGGAGACAGGACTCACAGCAACCCCCCACACACACACACACACCAGTTGATGTCATTCATCCCATAACTTCCCACTGAGCACCGACCCTATACTGGGCTCAGGACGGCTCTGCCAGAGCCCTAGTCCTAAGAACAGCTCCTCCAGCCTGTCTGTCGCCCTCTGCCCCTCCTTCCCCCGCTCCAGCTGCACTGGCCAACTCCCCACCCTTCAAATCCACCAGCTCCCACCTCATGGACTTCGAACACTGCCCAGAACATTCTTGACTGACCCTTTCCCATCTCTCAGGACTCAGCTTGATGTCATTTCCTTGGAAACGCCTACCCTAATCCCTCCCCAACCCCTCCACTAGATTAATACCTTTTCCTATATGATCTCTTAGCCCCTGGACTCCTCTTCAGAGCAGTTAGCACCACCTGAAATTGTTTCCCTGGTTAGTGGCCATCTCACCCAGCCATCTTGGAAGCCCCAGGATAGACCATGTCTGTTTTCTTCCCCACCATATATCGCCAGTACCTGAAAAATAACCGATGGTCAGGAAATGTTTGTTGAATGAATGAATGAAGTGATGTTCCCACGTCAGAGGCCTGAGTTCCCCGGGGCACACTCCAGGCAGAAGGAACAGCATGGGCAAAGGAAGTGGGAAAACAGGTCCGGGCAGGCTCTTTGTGACTGGAGCTGAGAGGCGAGGGCGGGAGGGCTGAGGTGGGGCGGGGGTGTCTGGGGGCAGGGCATGGCGGCGATTGGGCCTTACCTGAAGCCTGGCGGGCGTGGTGGGCGCCCAGCTTTGCAGGCATCTCCCGCAGCACCACCATCGTGACGGCTTATGTGATGACTGTGACGGGGCTAGGCTGGCGGGACGTGCTTGAAGCCATCAAGGCCACCCGGCCTATCGCCAACCCCAACCCAGGCTTTAGGCAGCAGCTTGAAGAGTTTGGCTGGGGCAGTGCCCGGAAGGTAGGGGCCGTGGCGGAGGCAGGAGCTGGCCCGGGCTGGGGGACTCATCTTCCCGCTTGAGTTGAGCACTGGCGGGAAAGAAGTCAGACCTGACAGGAGATTTTTCTGGGGGTTTCGAACTCGTGACCCTTGAGCTAATCTAGCCTCTAGGTGTATTTTGTTCGGTCAGCCAGATGTTATCTTTTCCTTTTTAGTTTAGTATTTGGATGCCTTTGGGCCAGACTATGGACCCTTCAGTGTGACCAGGTCCCAGCACTGCCTGCTCTACCCGCCTGGCACCTGAAGGCATCTGAATGTTTGACCCCTCTGGGGAGAGATGTCCATTCCCTACTCCACCCCTGGGTCCCTGAGAGGCCAAAGCATCTCCTTCTCTTATGCCCACTGGGCGGATGGCACATGGAGAGGTCAGGAACCTGGGAATGAGGGATGAGAGAGAGGCAGCAGGTGCAGGAAGGCTCTCCTCAGGTGCCGGGCTGGTACCCAGAGGCTTATCTGCGAGGCTGCTGGACGAAAGAGGCAGGCAAAGAGGCCCCCAGTGCGGAGGGGGTTGTTGCTCAGGGAGGAGGATTCGGGTGGGCTCCCCCCCCCCACCCCGGGCCCGGGGGCGGGCGGGCGGGCGTCGCTTTAGCAAGTCTGGAAGATGGCGTGGCAAAGGGGAAGGGAGTTCAGGAGAGGGAAGGGACTCGGAGGAGGAGGAGGGGGCTCCATGTGGGCGATGGAAACTCAGCAGGGAGGCTGAGGGGAGGCTCGGGAAGGGGAGGGGCCTAGCGAGGGGCGGGGAGCTCGCGGGCGGGCGGGAGCGACGAGCGCTGCGGAGGGGACGGGCCGGCAGCCTGGCACCGACCGACCCCCGGCTC